TGCAATGCTGTGGCTAGTAAAGCAACCAAAACGCTGGCTTGCATCCATAGATGCTTCTCAAGCAAATCCCGAGATGTCATTCTCCTGTTGTACTCGGCCTTGGTGAGGCCGCAGCTGGAGTACTGCATCCAGTTTTGGGCTCTGCAATTCAAAAAGGATGTGGAGAAGCTTGAGAGAGTCCAGAAAAGAGCCACGTGCATGATCAGAGGTCAGGAAAACAGACCTTACGACGACAGGCTGAGAGCCTGGGGCTCTTCAGCCTGGAAAAGCACAGGCTCAGGGGCGATCTGGTGGCCACCTATAAGTTTATCAGGGGTGACCACCAGTATCTGGGGGAACATTTGTTCACTAGAGTGCCCCAAGGGATGACAAGGTCGAACGGCCACAAACTCCACCGTGACCAATTGAAGCTGGACATAAGGAAGAACTTCTTTACTATCCGAGCCCCCAGGGTTTGGAATAGACTGCTGCCAGAGGTGGTTCAAGCACCCACTTTGAACACCTTCAAGACACATTTGGATGTTTATCTTGCTGGGATCCTATGATCCCTGCTGACTTCCTGACCCTGGGGCAGGGGGCTGGGCTCGATGATCCTCCGGGGTCCCTTCCAGCCTGAATGTATGTGAAAGTCTCCATGCAGCACAATAGGGGATTATGAAGGGGGTGTGTCATGCTCCCTGATCAGCTGGAGCAGTAGACTCCAGCCTGAGCAACACACTGGCTCCCTGGAAAAAGAGCATTGCTGGGAGGAAAGTGTCCTGGGAAGCTGAAGGACTGTGCTTCAGCTTCTCACAGAAGGTAAAGTATACAGACATTCGCTCTCCCAGAAAAATTCTTCCAGAAGTAATATAACCCTAGTTGTTTCCAGGGTATTTTTTAGGGCTGTGTGAAGCTTCAGTCCTTGATCAGTTCAACAGAGATTTGGCCTGATTTGGTGACTGAAACTCCAAATCCAATCAGGAGACCCTTTAATTTCTCTTAATCGGATCGGAACCCTCCAAATCAATTCAGAGAGACTCGGAAATATTCAGAGATTTGGACATAGACACAGCTTTAAAAGTTTTTTCTACGTACCTCTAGGTACCTGGGGCAGATGAAACATCTGACAGGAGGATGGGGGGCTCCCCAGCACACTCAGCAGCAGACCCAGAAGTGGACCAGAAACACTTGTGGTCCACTTCTGTGTCCGCTGGGGAGTGCACAGGGGGGCCCCCGTGGACTCCCCAGCTTGGCGACTAGTGCCTCCTGGGTCTGGGGGAGCACCTGGGGTCCCCCTGCAGCTGATCACTGAGCTGGGAGAGGGCACAAGGGGGCCCCCCTGCGCACTCCCCAACAGACCTGGAAGTGGACCAGAAGTATTTTCAGTCCACTTCTGGGTTTGCTGCCAAGGACATGGGGTCCCCCCCCTCACACACACACACACACACACACGCTTCTGTGGGACACTCCAGCCACCCCAGCATCACAGCATTCATGAGCTGTGCTGGTACCTCAAGGTATGTAGAAAAAACTTTTAAAGCTGTGTCTATGGCCAAATCACTGATTCTCTGAATCAGCATCGAATCTTCAGATTTGGATTTGGCCAAATCAAACTGGGGACAGTAATCTGAATCAACAAATTGAATCACTGTCCCCAATTCGGGCCGAATCTGAATCCAGATTGAATATGGCATGATTCACACACCCCTATTTTTCTCCCAAGGTAGCCATTTTTGCTTTGGTAGAACAATCCCAAACATCTATACACTTGTAGTTTCCACTGGGAAAGCAGTGACTCTTCCAGTAAAAACTGAATGTCTGTACATGGCCATAGTCTGAAGTAGAGATGCGACTGATAGGACAATGTGATTAACTTGTATATGGTGGAAGACTATTATCTATGGGGTCTATGGGCAAGTCAAGGAGGCAACTGAGTAGAGAATTGCTGAGTAGAAAATTTCATCCTTACCCAGACGAAAGATAGTGGTCACCTTTCACTGACAGTTCAGGGCGTGTGGACAACAGATGGTGGTGCTCCCTGGCTTGGTCCAATGTGATGAAGACATGCCCTAAAGTAAAACAATAGTAAAAGATTTAACATCAGAGTTTAATTGGACAATGGGTCTGCAATTTCCTAATACAGGTAACTGTTCTCTAACACAGACTACAATGCTCCATGTGACTAAAGAATAATCCTGATAACTGTGAGATACATTTTGTCAACATCTCCAGACGGAGCCACATTCAGAAAAGAAGCTAGATGGAAGCTGTCCTGATGTCACTTACCCATTTCTGTTTATTATTGTATTGCAGTAGTCCTTAGCAGCTCCTAGGGAGATTGGGGCCTGACTGTGTAAGATGACATAAATATGTCATAAAAATGGTCCTTACCCCCAAAAGCTTAGGGTCTAAAACTCTCTGCTGTCTCCTGCAGTAGGTGTGTTGCTTAAGTTCAGATTCCCTTGTGTAATGACTTGCAAGGAACTCAGAGGGAGGAATACCATCTGCAGAACCTCCTTAGACTTATTTTTTTGGGCCTCAGCTGAACACTTCACTCTTATCTTGCAGAGTACTTAAGCACATGCTTAAGTCTTTTTGACGTAGGACTAAAGCTGAAGGAGAACTGCTGGGTCACTGAGTCAAATCCCATATAATGAAAACTTAAAGTGCTCTCTTAAGACCAGTTAATTTTTTTGTCCCTATTAAGTATATTGAAAACCTGTTCGCTGCTCTGATGGTTAAAATTTAGCATGCTGTTAAGAGCTTTGCCAAATAGGTAGTGACTATAACTATGTACTTAAATGCTTATCTTAATTGGAACTTTAGATTTATACTCACTTGTTAATGTATAACTGATTCCCCTTACCTCTAATATCAATACTAAATTTAGTTGCACTAAATGCGATAAAGGCATTGAAATTGGTGTATCCAACACATTTAGTGGGCAGCAAGGTGGAATCTAGCAAGACAGGAAAAGCAAGGAGTAGGAATCAGTTAAATGTAAAAATGTGAGAGTCAGAGAAGGCTGCTCCTTGTTTTGTACTTCTCTTTTTCTGGATCCAGAATATTTAAGTTAGACCATCTAAAACTCCATTGTCCTCACACATTAGAAAGCAAGCTTAACTGCATCACAGAAAGCCTAACTGAGCATCAAGGAATTTCAGTGAGTACAAAGGAATCTAACTTGTACCCTTTATATATCTCCTCTGACCCTGGTCTACTGGGCTAGAATTATGTATTATGCATTCATATGAAAAAAATGAATCAGAACATAATATACTATTGTTTAGATGATATATAATAGACACCTGCTTCTGGGGAGGCATCAACCTGACACTCCATTTATCCTCTAAAAGGGACAACACACACAGAATCTAGATGTCTTCCCGCAGGGAAAAAATATATACGCACAGCTGAGGGATGCATATCTGCATCTGACATCTTTGAGATATTGCCTAAAATTATGCCTCCTGTATTAATAATGATCATGACTCTTTGTTCTGCAATAATGAAAACCATTGACTGTTGTCATAAGATGATGTATGCAAAAAGGCAAAGGCATGAATTTAATTGCAATTAAGATATTATGAGTTTTTCTAACAGTGTAGGCTATTATTATTTTGTTTAGCCCCAGCACACAAATGTCTGCTTCTGGTACATACCTCCCAGTCTACGAGACATGGAAGACAATGAAGAAAGAATGAATCGTCTAATGAAGGTAAATAAGACAGGCTGAAATGTTACGTGATCCGAAATGGGACTATGATGGGAAGTGGCCCATACAATAATCTTGTTCTCAGGGAAGCACTGCAATGAGTACTTACTTACATTTTTATAAACAAGAAAATCATTAAAATTAATAAGAAAAGATTCATCATTTCAAAGTTCATTTTAGTTATGTCAGTTTTGCAAGGTAATTAGGCTTACAAAATACTCCTGTTATTCAGTTGATTTGAATACTGTCTTCTCTATTCTGTATCCCATGAATTTACCTATTCTTTATCAAACTTATTTAGACTATGGTCATCCTTGTCATTGATGGTATAAATTGCAACAGATAATTCCAAAATATGTAACAATCTGAACACAGATTTATTTTGATTATGCAATGGAGGTTTGCCACATGAAAACAAGAGGGAAAGTGATTATACCAATATGCTGGAAGAGTTGGCTTGTATTAATTGCATTTGTGTCAGCAATACTAAGTATTAGCAAACTGGTTAATGTAGCTGTGAGCCATTTATTTTCAATCTAAAGAACAGTTTATACTTTTGCAAGGTGTCTTGACAGCCTTCATGATGTCATAAAACCCCAATGCCTAAGAGGACTGCAGTTTAGACTCCTCATACTTTTCATAGGCTGTGTTTCCTGGCTGATTGTATTTCTTCTGATGCATTATGGGGATATGGTGAGAAGGAGATGATGTATCTTTGGATTCCAATTGGTCACCATACGTCATGAGATAAAATCTGATTTAGGGTCTGGTCCATAGAGGACAGTGGTTATCAAACTGTAGCTTTGAGGTTATCAAACTATAGCTCTCCTGAGACATATCTAAACAGAAAGGTACCAGATTGTGGCTGAACTGTTTTGTTTTGGCTAAAAGTCACAAACTTTTCAGCCTTCACATTTGCTTATCCAACAATATCACAATTTTCCTCAAAGAGGTAGCACTTTTCTCAAAAGAAATAGTTGAAAGTCCAACTTTCAAGCAAAAAAACATCTTTGATGGGATTTTTTTACCAGCCTTAATAACTGAATTGGTGAATTGGGGTTAAAGTCAGTAGAAAAAAAAATCTCTCGTTGATTTTTGCATGAGCACAACAAGCTGTAATGTTACCACTAGGTGAGATCCTTACTCAGTTGTTCTCATTTTACTCACTATTGAGCTTGTTACATTTTAACGATTTTTGTGTATTTGTTCATTTGTTTTTAGTTTCCCCCTTTTTAGAGAAAGAACAAATAAGGTATGGAATTGGAAATATTTCTCAGATTTTGTGCCATGTCTTTCTAGGTAGCTCCAGTGATAAAAGCCAGAATGATGGAATATGGAACTACAATGGTGAGCTATCAGCCACTGGGAGACAAAGTGAACTTCTTTCGGATGGTCATCTCAAACCCAGCAGCGAGTCATCAAGACATTGATTTCCTGATTGAGGAAATAGAACGTCTGGGACAAGATTTATAATATTCTGATCTGAAAGGCTGTTCCAGAATATTTAGGTAGACAATTAAGTTGTCACAAACTGTGCGAATGTATTTGTAGTTTGTTCCAAAGTAAATCTATTTCTATATTGTGGCGTCCGAGTAAAGTACAGTTTAAAATCAAGCAACATGGCTCCTTTCAAAATCCTATCTTGAGTTTTAGAATACCTCTTCAATAATTAGCTATAAAAAGGCTGCATTCAAACAGATAAAGAATAACAGAAGAGACTTGAAATATTTTCCCCAAATTTTAATACAATTAGTAAATAATTATTTTAGGTTAAAAGTAGATTGAATGATGCCAAATTTGCCCCTAAATAGCAACAAAATCAAATTTGGGGGGCAATTAGAAGCATAAAGTCCGCAAACTGTGTGTTTAAAAGTGAAAAGTTTGCCTTTTTCATAGTATTAGAACAGAATTTCTAATTTACCTATAGCAACACTTCAAATGTATTTAAATAGGTATAATTTTACAAAAGGAATATATATATATATTAAAAAAGCCTATTTTGTAAACTATAGATTTTTATTTTATATGGGTTATAAAAACTTCAGGGGCAGAAACTGAAAACTAAATAAGATTTTTTTTTCTTTTTGATCAAAGTACATCAAATAGTTAGCCATGCTTATTTTAAAAAACATAAGCCCACATAAATTCTTAAAAGATACTGATGCCTCATTCTACATGCTACATGGATAGTACATTTCCCAGGTTTATTACTGAAAACCTCAAGAGTACTCCAGCTCTTTAAAACACTTAATCAGATCAATTACAGTACAATAATAAGATGCTATTATTCTTAATTATATTTCCGATATGGCCTAACTAAACAGATGCACAATCAATTTGCAGTGCTAACCAAAACCGAATTAAGATTATTTTTGGATGGTTTCTTTCTTCTGTTTAAAAAACAATCTACTGCAAAAGGGCCACATTGGATGTGTCTACATGAGATGCCCACTGCACAGTTGTTACTGCACAGTCATTTAGTACTTGCATAACCATGTACTAAATGACTGCAGAGTAACCAGCTTTACTGCACAGTAGCGTCCCAGCTACCACAGTTGCCTAGTGATGCTTACTGCACAGTAGCTCATTACTCCTGCACAGTAGTGTCACATCACGGTTCATGCCTGGTGACGCTACTGCGCAATAGTAACAAGCTACTGAACAGCAATAACAAGCTACTGTGCAGTAAGTGTCTCATGTAGACACAGCTACTGTAGACTAAATGTGGGTATTGGAACCATCTTTCATATTTCATAAACCAGAATTTATTCAATAGAAACAAAAATATATTTGAAAACTAGAACTGACTGAACTTCTCTAAGAATCAGAGCCTGTACAGTTTCACAGGGTAATGTGAACTGGGTAAGGACAACTGGGATGTAGGATAAGTAAGATTTATAGGATATTTCAGGGTAGGGCCCTAAATCAGAAGCTTGTGTAAACAGGATGACAAATGGTAAAACCTAAGTCTCTCACATAATATTTTTTCTAAACACCCCCAGTATTTGAAAAGGCATCTTACTGCAAATGATATCTAAATGCTTTGAGATATTCCTAAATTCTCCTAACATAGTTCTTGAAGAGCCAACTATGCCCACTTAAAAATCACTGGTGCAAAATCGCACATAAACAACGCAGGTGTCTTTGAGGGGGAAACTGAGATTCAACTTCCTTCCTCTTGACATTTGAAAAGGTTTCAATCAGTATTTCATGGGACAGAGCTGTCCATTTATAACCTTATTGAAGTTTTGGGTTTAGCTATGACTGAAATCTAAATGACTACTTTTGTTTATAAAGCAATATTATTTTGCTGTCTTTAAAATACTTGAAGAAAATAAGTGAAGCGTGGTTTAACGTCAGCTAAAGCATATATAAATGGGGTACTGATTTAGTATAATGTCATAACAACATGAAATAAGAGGAGGAAATAAATTGTGTCTGTAATTGTGTTGCCTTTATTATATTGATAGTACTGTTTTGTCACCTCAGATTGAGGCTGTGCACTTTAGATTTAAACTGTACAGTGTTGCAAATCAACATGTGTTGCTGTATAAGCTTGTACAATATATTATTGATATGTCATTTTGTGTGGTAGTAGTATTGACTCTTGATATTGTAAGAACTGCATTCACAACAGTCCCTGTACTATATCTTTGCTCAGTACTAATTCCTCATCAGCTTTAGAGCAGAACATTTGCTTCATCCCAGGGAATGCCCACTGCAGTTTACAATGCATAAGATGTCTATGAATGCTTTAGAGGAGATAAGAGTTCTGCTAATGAGGACTAAAGCTACCTGTTCCAAACAGCTCACAAATTGATAGGCTGTAGCCACTACAACACTGAGCAGCAGAGCACATTATATTCTTTTTTTCTTGATTAGAAAATAGCAAAGAACCAAGTGTAAAAATAGTACAGGGACAATGGTGAAGGTGTTCAGTGGCCTGGTTACATCTTGCATGTGCTATTCTGTTTTTAAATAAGTACAAATAGTGTATTTATTAGTTCTTTGTGCCAATCCAAGATATACATCCAGTGTTTCATGAAAACCAGCATTTTCCCATGTTACTATGTTTATTGCAGCCAGGAAAGAACAACATTGCAACTTGTTCTTCTTGTGTTTGACCAAAGTATTTTATCCGTGTTGTTGATATAAACCCAAATAAAAGTGTAAAAAGTGACTTGGCTACATTTGTGAAGCCTACATCATTGAAGGCTGCTATAAATAGAAAACTGACATCTTTTGTGCTATCCCTGAGCAAATATCCCTATGATGAGAGTATTTTCATTCTCAATCTCTTCTTATTGCAATTAAGACACCTTCTATGAAATATGCTTTAACTGTAGGTGTATATTAAAAGATCTAACTGTAGGTGTATACTACAGACCACCAAACCAGGGCGAGGAACTTGATCTAGAATCTGCCTGAGAACTAACAGAGACTACACGTGCACGTGCATGAGACCTGGTCATCATTGGCAACTTCCAGTATCCAGACATCTCTTGGAAGGAACACTTGGCCAAGTCAAATCAGTCATGTTACTTCCTGACCTGCAACAAAGAGTTTTTTCTGACTCAGGAAGTACATGGGCCAACCAGAGGTAATGCTCTTCCAGACTTGGTCCTGGCCAAAGAAGAGGACCTGGTGACCGACTTAAACATAAAGGGCAGCCAGGGCAATGCAACCATGAAACCATTACATTCATGGTCGGTCACAAGGCAGACAAATCAGATAGCAGGCTTGAAGTTTTGGACTTCAGAAATGCAAACTTCAACAAGCTCAGGTCACTAGTAGACAATGTGTTGTGGGACCAGGCACTAAAGGTGAAAGGAGTACATGAAGATGATCATTCCTAAAGGACACGATTCTTGAAGCACAAAGGAAGTCCATTCCCATGCAGAGGAAATGTAGCAAAAGGACTAGGAAGCCATCTTGGCTAAACAGGGAAATCATGGTCCTATTAAGAAAAAAGAAAGAGACATACAGACAATGGAAGCTAGGGACAGCCCCCAATGAGGATTATATAGCAATGGCCAGCACTTGTAGGGATCAGATTAGAAAAGCTAAGGCAGCGACTGAACTAAAATTAGCAATGGGAATCAATGACAACAAGAAGCTCTTCTTTAGGTACATAGGGAACAGGAGGAAAACAAATGGGAGTGTGGAGCCATTGCTCAACAACTCAGGACAGCTGGTTACCAGCACTCAGGAAAAAACTGAACTCCTGAATGCCTACTTTGCTTCAGTTTTTCACTGCGCCAAGCAGAAAATCATGCCAGCTAGGTTACAGAATGAGCAAGGTCCAAATGACTGCCTTCCTACTATTGCCATAGAACTGGTGTGTGATCAACTAAAGAAACTGGATATATATATGTCAACAGGACCAGATGAACTTCATCCAAGAGTGCTGAAGGAGCTGGCCGAAGTAATAATGGAGCCCCTAGAGAATCTTTTCCAAAACTCGTGCTCCGGGGAGGTCCCCAAGGACTGGAAGAAGGCCAGTGTTATGCTCATTGTCAAGAAGGGGAGGAGGGAGGACCTGACTAACTATGGGCCAATTAGCCTAACTTCTATCCCAGGGAAAATCCTGGAAAAATTCATCAAGTAGTCTATATGTGATAGGCTTGCAAAAGGTAGGATTCTGAATGACAGCCAGCATGGCTGTCACAGGCAAGTCTTGTCTTACCAACCTCATCTCCTTTTACAATCAGGTAACTCACCACCTGGATAAGGGAGAGGGGGTTGACACTGTATACCTTGACTTCCAAAAAGTTTTCGATCCAATATCCCATGATGTTCTTGTGAGAAAATTGTAAGACTGTGGGCTTAACTATGAGACAAGTGAGTAGAAAGCTGCCTGAAGGGTAGGACCCAGAGAGTTCTAATTAACAGATCTATATCATCTTGGTGGGACGTGACCAGCGGTGTCCCACAGGGCTCAGTGCTTGGTCCAATGCTATTAATCTTCACCAGTGATTTGGAAGTGGGGGTGAAGAGCTCACTGGCCAAGTTCACAGACAACACCAAGTTATGGGGAAATGTGGTGACACTTCAAGATAGGCTGCAGATACAAGCGAACCTAGACAGGCTAGCAAGTTGGGGGAACCAGAACCAGATGAAGTTCAACATCGAGAAGTATAAAGTGCTCTACCTAGGGACGAACAATCCCCCGCACAGCTACAGGCTTGGCAATGCCAACCTGACCAGCACTACAAATGAAAGGGACCTGGGGCTAATAACAGACAACAGCATGAACATGAGCCACCAGTGCGACATTGTAGCCAGCTCGACTAACAGTACCCTGGCATGCATCTCCAGCAAAACCAAAGAAGCGATTCTCCCGTTCTACTCAGCATTCATGAAACCACAGCTGGAGTACTGCATCCAGCTCTGGCCGCCTCACTTTAACAAGGACATGGTAAAGCTTGAGAGAGTCCAGAGGAGGACCACCCATAGGATCAAAGACTTGTGCGGCAAGCCATATGAGGAAAGGCTGAGGCATCTGGGACTCTTCAGCCTGAGAAAAGAAGGCTGAGAGGGGACTTGGGAGCAGCTTACCAATCAGAATTAAACTAGCAAGCTGAGGTATGTGGTGAGATTTGAAGCACCTCATTACACTCTCTTGGCATCAGAATTTTTCAAGATTTTTCTCAGGTTTATTGCACCAGCTCTCCAGAATATGATAATCCTCTACACCAAACACATGTCCAATTAATTGAGTCTGCTTGAGCATGCTAATTAGCATGCTCCAACAGCCTCAGCAGCACATGTATTCAGCGTCCCCATGGTTCAAAATGGGGCGGGGCGGGGGGGGAATTTAACTAAAGCTTGTCAAACAAGCGTTAGTTAAATTGCCCCCTCCACCATTTTGAAGTGCAGGAAGCTGAATACACAAGACATTGTCAGCATTTCAATTAAAGCAGCTCCTGAGAGCTGCTCTAATTAAAATGCTCCCCACACACCCCACTCCAGAGCACAGAAAGACAATGCCCTAGATACCAGAATGATAAGGTACTTTAGATACAATACAGATAGCACTTTAGATGCTGTATAGATAGATATCGGCATTTAAGCTTCTTCCATTGAAATCTCTCTACCTTGTTACAGGAGTGATAAGAGAGACTTAATAATGTATATCACTGCTCTCAGAAGCCAGAGGTATAAGAACAGTATACCATGTCAGACAAAATAATGGTTTTGCTGTGCTCCTGTGAGAGGGAGAGGAACCAGAGAACAGGATTTACCGGAGAACAAACACTGCTCCCTGCACTTACCTCAGAAGACCGGAGGAATGCCATGAGTGAGAAGGGCCGGAAAACCCACTTCTGAAGCAAATGCCAGCTCCAGATTGGCCCATGACACTCTGCACTGCCTATTTCCAGCCCCAAAGAGGGGCAGCCCTAGGGAGAGCCTGATGCAGAGCAGGGACTCCCTGCTCGGAGACATCCAGCTGAGAACAAAACTAGGAGCTGGTCTGAGTGAGAGAGTG